TATATATATATATATATACTGTATATACAGTAAATATGTATACACACACACATACACATATACATATGTATATCAATACATACACATAGGCACATACATATATCAATACATACACATATGCGAGCCCATTCTCATGCCCCCCGCGTCAAGTTATTGACGCTTGACCAAGCGTAATTATGTTGATGTGCGGGGTACAGATGGGGCGGAGGAGGAAGATGTGTTTTTACAAGACTGGAATTACGCAAAACTAACCATCCTAAGACCCTAAATTTAACTTCTACTAGCCTTATAGAGCCTAACCCTGACCACAGACTCTAAAGTTAACTGTTAATCCTGATTCCTCATGTTAACCTCATATGTCACGCAAACCTGGAAAAGCCGCAGGCGACAAGGATGGATGCGCGGGGGCGTCAACGTATAGACGCTTGTCAATATGTAATGAGTCCAACATGAGAATGTATTACATATGCACATTCAATCAGTGTCCGATCAGAAAACCCAGGATTTAAACATATGTTTGCGTGTGGTTGTGAGCATGCACGTACAAGATCTCTTTATTGCAGTGATTAATTTTACGTATAGAAAATGTTACATTCATATCACATCATGGATCAGTCAGCAGCAGCATCTGATCAATATGTGATCTATGATGGGATGTAAATATAAATCTGTGGATCTGTGTTTGATTACGCTGGCTGGCTTTCTCAAGGGACCAGGATGTGTGACACAAAAAATTGAATTATGGAACTGAAAGTGAAAGTAGTCGAGCTGAATTTTTAATAGACCAAAATATAGTTTCAAAGCAAATTAATTAAAAATCAAATCATTAAACTCAGTTTCAAAACATTAAATTCAGTTTCAATTTAGTGAAATTTATTTTCAAATCAATGCATTCAGTTTCAAATTATGCATATTCAGATTCAATCTGAGCAATTCAAATTCAATTCCTGCTGGCACAAGATTTATCCCATACACAGCAGCTCAGCATCATAGGCAACTCCAGAGTAGAATAATGCTCAGCCCCTCTCGAGAAGACTGGTTTCAGAGTCCATGCTATGTGTTGAAATGAACCCAACTATATCTATACTTCCCAACTTCATGCACATGCTCGGGCTCCTTCCCCATCAGAGAGTTGACCCATGTCCCAAGGGCCAGTTTAGTAGGCCATGGTCAGAGCACCAAGGTCCCTGCCTTTGACTACTACCCATGGCATCATGCACCTGACTCGTACGGCCCCTCCTGCAGGTGGTAGGGTGGCAAACCCATATAGCTCATTTGCATGGGTTTCTTACAAACCGTACTGTACTGAGCCCGACTGGGCATCATGGATAGAGACCTGACCACTAGGCTCTATTCTGTTTTAATTTAGGTTTTGCACAAAGTTCCAACTTCATTGGAATTGGGGTTGTATTAACTTTAATAGTTTGTAAAATTTTACATAATTAGTCCTTACTGTTGGCTATTTCGATAATAACGTCAAGATACTTGCCCTCCTGGATTATGGCCGCCATTGCCACAGTGAACATAAGACCTATAGGCGATCTCTTGCTGTTTTATATAATCTCTATTAGTTGTGTGGTCTAGATTTGTCCTTGCTTGACATGCGTTCTTTTGCAGGAGTTTGTGAAGTTAACTATGTCAGATATCCAAGTGACATATTTGACTATTCTAGTCGGTGACTTTGCCCGAGCTGTAATCGTTCGCTTCCTCAACTACTGCTGGTGCTGGGACCTGGAGGCTGGCTTTGTGAGTACCCATATTTGCTAAAATATGGAGGATTTTAGCTTTGCTGGTTTTATTTTTGTTTGGTTTGGCTAAATGAAATATTACACTTTTTATTTTATTAATTTAAAAAAAGGATTCTATTCTTTCAGGTTTTTATTTTAAATTATAGAATAATGGAGTATTACATTTTGTTTTTGCCACGTGTACTGTGAATTTTAAAATGGTAAACCAGTGTAATAAGTATTTTTTGCATTTTGTTTCACTGTTGAACATTGTGTAAATACAGTACAGTTTGTAAGAAACCTAGGCAAACCTGATACTACATTATTATCTGGTAAGACAGGTGACCCAACAGCAAATGCAAAGTGACCTGCGTTTTTTTTAATATAGGTCAACAATTTCATCATGCTACTGTCTTTTTCAAGCCTTCCTATGGAGAGTTTGACATCAGTGGAAATGTGTTGGGCCTCATCTTCAACCAAGGAATGATCTGGTGAATTGACACACACACAGTTTCTTTCTCATTTATTGTCTGCACTAAAATCCAGTGAACAGTAATCTCATAAGACAAAAAAGACCTACAAACAGAGGTGTATAAAGAAATGACTAAGAAAAAGTAAAAAAAAAAAATCTTAACAGAAAATGACTTTAGTAAATTTGAATTTTACTGATAAGGTAATTGGGAAAGTAAAAGTACTTTTACCCACACTCTAAAAATTTTTATGTTGAATTTACTTAAACTGATTTCACTAAACCGAATTGAGTAAACTGATTTACATTTTTTCTTTTAAGAAAGACGTAAATTGCTTTATATTTACTCTATACCATTTAGTAGAAACAGTTGACATAACATGGTTAAGTAAATGCAACATTTAGTTTTTAAGCGTGCATTACCAACATTAAACATGATGAGTTCCGTTATCTTTATATATAAATTTGCAGGTGTTAAATTGTAAAATAAAGAAAATAAAAGTATCAATCTTATGTTTTAAACATAACAAAATAGAAGTAAAAGTTCTGATTAAAAAATACCCGATAAAAATACAAATCCTCAAACAAATGACTTTACCTTAACAAAGTAAATATACTTAGTTACATACCTCTGCCTTTAAATAACTAAATATTATCTGATTCTTCAGTTATGATTGCTGCTTGTAGCTAGTTCAAAACTATGACAGTCAATGTATAGGATACTTTTGAAAATGATATTACTTCTGCTGTCGTCCTCAGGATGGGAGCCTTTTATGCTCCAGGTCTGGTGGGTATTAACGTACTGCGTCTCCTGAGCTCCATGTACTATCAGTGCTGGGCAGTGATGGCCTGTAACGTCCCTCATGAGAGAGTTTTCAAGGCCTCGCGGTCCAACAACTTCTACATCGGTCTGCTGCTGCTTATCCTGTTTCTCAGCGTGTTTCCTGTCATCTACAGCATGATGTCCCTGTCCCCGTCCTTTGACTGTGGACCATTCAGGTCATTAGAACATGAGGCACTAAAAACACAACCTATATCACTATTGTTTAATGAATGTTCTGCAAGTTAAAGACAAATGACTGTGATTATTGGTTTTGTTGAAGCTGAATCTGGTTCATACAAATATAGTCAAAGTTTAAACCATAATTTATTCCTGACAACTCAATACTTGTTTGTGAGGATCTTAGTCAAACTGTCACAAACTTCTATTAATAGAGTTGTTTTGTTATTTCCTGGTAACACGTTTTACTTTACATTCAACAGCTCAAATTGAGGTATTGTATATTCTATACAACAAGAAGCAGTCTGTGTGCAGGTGAAGAATAGAAAAAAATACATCAAAACAGTTTATGTACATCTAAAAAAAGAAAACCAATATATATTAGCTCAGTTTTAATCTTTCAGTTTTTTGAAGTGAATACCAAAGACATATTTTAGCCTGCAAGATGGGAGTAATCATTTGTTATATTAGATTGTTTTGAAATTATACAAGCACATTTTCTCAATTAACCAAAGCAATATTTAATAATAGCTGAACTATATTTTGAATTGGTTAGCATCACGGTACTAAATCAGTCCATGATTTAGTACCGTGATGCTAACCAAATTTGCCATGTTTTTATGGCAAATTTGTATAAATTAGGATTAAATATATTTTCATAGGTTAAAAAAGACATTATTATAATTGGGATGTTTTGGAATAAACACACAAATATGTTTCGAACAGCTATATTTTACACACTAGTTTGTGACTTAAACTTGACCAAACTGAGACCACAAATTTAGGTCAGAGCGAACAATCTGTCAAGGTTGAGATGAAACAGGGAACAGGTGCAGGAGCAGAGACTGACAGAGGAAAAATACCGGAAAAACAAACTGATGACAGAATAAAATACAAAGAGAAAAAACACAAATTCAATTCAATTCAATTAAATTCAGTTCAGTTCAATTCAAAAAGACAATTGATCCCAGAGGGAAAATAGGTAAATAATACAACCCCCCCACAGCATTATATATAATAACATAAAAAGGAATAAACCTAAAAACATAAAAGATAAAGCAAAAAACAACAGAATCTGACACAAAAACTTTTACATATAGCTCTGCATAAAGGCATCACTCTGCTGAAAGAAAAACATGAAAAAAAAAATGTCTCATGACGTCCGACCCAAGTTGTCTGAACTGAAATAAATGATTACTTCCATTTATTTATTGTTAGCTCAGACAAAACATTACAAAAAATAACTGGTTTAATACTTTAATCTGTCTTTTTTTCCACACAGTGGCAAAGCATATATGTACGATGTGGTTATAGAGGCAATAAACCAGGATCTACCAGCTTTCATGGGGACAGTTTTATCGTATGCGAGCAACCCTGGACTCATCATGTCTGTGGTCCTCCTCATGATGTGAGCATAGAATAAATGTTGAATAGAAACAGTGCGGTTTAATACTTTCCTGTGTGTTTCTGTGAATTTATGTCAATGTAATAAACACAGATATAATTTTGTATCACAGCTTAGCCATATATTATCTGAACACTGTGTCAAAGGGATACCAACAGGCCAATTTTGACCTTAAAAAGAAGATGCAAATGGTCAGTATGAGTGCTGTTTATTTAATATCATTTTTCCAAAAAGTCTTCAATGAACAATATGATTTTCTGGGTAACTGGTTGATATTTTAGGCACGAGACGATGAGAAAAACCGCAGAAACAATAAAGACAGCACTAATCAAGTGATGAAGGACTTGGAGGAGCTGYTGCCAGACAAATCTCTTATGCCACCTCCTGCTAAGGAGGAACCACCTCCCGGTACACTGTCTATGATGTATTTTTATGTGCATCCAATTGTCCTCAACACACATTCAGTTTATTGACACACACACACACACACACACACACACACACACACACACACACACACATATATATATATTGTCTTTACTTCTGTGTTTGCAGAGGTCGTAACAGAAAAGAGCAGCAAGTCGACCAAAACAAAGCCAGGTACAGCGGGGAAAGGTGTTAATGTGCAGAAGGAGGTGTCACTGGCTGCCCCAAACCCCAGAAGACCTGTGACCCAGGCCCCGGGGCCAAGAGGGGGGCCTCCTGTAAACACCAGGGGGCCTCAAGCTGGGCCTGGCAGAGGCAGAGGTCAGGGTCCAGCTCCAAGAAGATAAACTGAACACCTCAACACAAGTAACTACTGCACAACTAAAAAAGGAGGAGGCTTCACTGAATTATTTTAAGGTGGAATTTATAATTTGTGAATGTTTAGAATTGTAAATAAATACATTTGACTCAACTAAAGAAGCTTCCAAAAAGCTTTTGGTAATGTTGTAAAGTGTTTTACGCACAGCATGCATCTATCTGGAACCTTTAGTTGTTTTTCTCATCCAGTAGACAGAATCTGCGCCAGCTGTGAGCTGGGTAACATTACGAGGTCAGAGGTCAAAGCTGGCTCCACAGATCTGGACTGACTTTGAGCTGTTGATTCATTGTACAGAACGGGAAACATAGGCTGAACATGTAAAGCTTTAATTGTAAACTGGGTCAACCTTCAGAAGCAAGTCTGAAGAACCGCAGGCTGATACAAGAGAATTGTTCACTTTGTCGTGGCAAAGATAGTCAGAAACACGGCGAAAAGGGTATTCCACAACACACTTCATAAATACAAATACATTTAAGTCCACCTAACTCAGACCCCTGTGTAAAAAAATGTGACTGTTTTACAATCAAGTAAAAAGTCATTGTGCTTCAATAACACTAAGATTCTCAAAGTATATATAATTAATTTGAAACTGATGCACATCCTACCTCTATGGAGTGAGTACTCATAAAAAAAACTTTACCAATGCTTTTTTTTTTAAAAAAAAAAAACATTTTCACTGAACCAAAGCTTCACAAACAGAACATATGTCTAATCCTTTGCCAACTTACCTTCTTACCCTGAAAACTTAAGTGGCACCACAGCAGGAAAAATGTATTCTATTAAATAAAATGTTAAAGGGGACATATCATGTAAAATCTAATTTTTGACCCGTTAAATGCATGTTGTTTTGTAGGGGTGCAGAAAAGTTAAATTTAGTCTCTCCAGGTGCTTACCAACTACAATACTTGTCTTCATTCTCCTCTGGCTCTGGGTCAGACTCTGGCTCCAAGGCTGGATGGACAAGTTTCCTGTTGTTGACACCTTTTAATTAATTTGTCAAAAAAAAAAAAAGGTTTCTGCGTCACTATAAAACCCATTATCATACTGGAATGAACCATGCTGGAAGCTGGAGGGGGTCGGCGTGTGAAGTGCCTTGTTTGGGTTGAAAGAGACAGCCTCAAAACGAGTTGATCTGTGGCACGCCTCAGAAAAGGGGTGAAAGGGGGACTTGTGGAGTTACAATAAGGAGGAATTCAGACCAAAACATTGCAGTTCTACTTTACATAGAACCCGACTGAATGATTTAAAGGATTTAATGTATTATGTCTAATTGAGAGAGAGAGAGAGAGAGAGTTTGTTTGTTTGTTTGTTTGTTTGTTTGTTTGTTTGTTTGTTTGTTTGTTATGTGTGTCCTTTGAAAGGATGTTCTAAACTGCAAATTTTGTTCTACATTGCACCTCTGATGTTGTGTGTGAATGACAATAAAGCGATTCTGATTCTGAGCTGACAAATGCAGTTGATTTTGTTTTCTCAACAAATATCAGTCTGAGTTTGGTTTTGGGGCCAGTGTAACAAAAGTTTAAATTCCACAGCAATATTTAAGAAATAAGTTGCTACCAGCGTTGACCTCCGGGATCCATTTCTTCAGTAAAACAGAGCTGCCAGGAAACACATCAGTGTTTAGAAAAACAGCTCCCTCTGGTGGAAAATTACAGAAATTACACGCCACTTACTACCAGTTCCTCCAGGCCCCACAACCTGGTTTCTTGTGGGCTATCTGCTACAGCTGGGGGGACCAGATGCATCTTTCTTTGACAGTATGGTGAGTTTGTGTTTTAGATGATAAAATGTTTCATTCATCGCTTCATTCAATTAGTTTTTGTCTTTTTATCTGTTTGCCTCAGCTGCGTTGGGCTCCTAAAGTTTGTGGAAGTCGGTGGGTTCACAACATGTACGATTTCTGCCCCGTGTTCTGCATCCATCCACATTTTTCTCTGAGAACACTGGTCCAGTACATTCACAAGATGAGTGGATTTATGGAGCGGAGAATTGAGGAGCACATCAACTTTGATAAGGTAAAGAGGTTTTTAGGATCTGCTGCTGTAGAAACAAGGAAAGAATGAACATAACCCAGAATGAAATACATTGATCACAGAAGACAAAGATTAGTTTTAAAACTGTAAAGTCTTGCATAGTAGGTGTCGTTTCCTCTGATTAATCTGACCTTCCACACACAGCAGTGAGTGGAACTGTAGCCAGAAAACATAAACAAAATCCCCTGAGACAACTTTTGTTTATGCAGAGTGACTAAAATGTTCACATACAAACCATTCAAAAATTAGCTAGCATGTAGAAGACACACGTCTTATTCTAACTAATTACTGGCATTTTTAGAGTATTCAAAATTTCAAATCTAAATTACAAATTGATGGTAAAGGTACAGTTTCCACAGAGATGAAGACAAATAAATCAGAAAAACAACAGATAGAAGATGGATAAGTAAATAAGAAATATCTCTGCTCTCCAACTCTCAGATCATTCACACTGTCATAGACATCTTCGGTGCAGGTTAGACAAACTCAAAGTCCTGCCTAAAAAAACAATAAGATATCATAAAAACATGTTATTTTACTTGTTTCGTTTGTGCTTTTCTGAAGGTTTTAACACCAAGTTAATTATGCACAGCTGCAACAAATTATTTTCTTCAACTTAGCATTCAAATTTTAACAGTTTCTTGAAATCTAAACATGTTTCTGTAAATTTTAAACCCAAAAGATGTTTCTTTCCCACAACCACAAACTGAGAAAACCTGCTTCTGAGGCTAGAACAAAGTTTTAAAGAGTAATCAGAGAATTAACCAACTAAAAATGTTTAAATGAATCCATCATTCTGGTTGGGCTTTGTAAAATGCAAACCCCCACCCTGAAACTGCAGTGGTATGAAAAATGAACGGCCTCAGGCCATGACATGCTTCTATTAATTTTTGGTTAGCACTTTACTAATTTTAGCCTTTAGTTAGCCTTTTGGAACTTTGAATTTTAGACAGTGTTTTGCTACAATTAAGCTTAAGCCTTTACTTCTTATAACTTTTATTGAGCTTTTGGTATCCTTAGGTTCTTATCTTTTAAAATCTTTATATAGCTCATTACTACTGTACATTTATTTAGCTTTTGCTACTGTGAGCTTGAAGCCATCATTTTGTTAGTTTTAAGTCAGTTTTTTGTTTTGTACCTGTAGCTTTTGACTAGCATTTAGATTTTTTTTCAGCAAATCTTTTGTTGATTGTAGTTTTTAACTACATTTGAATATAATTTTGTTTAGGTTTTAACTAGTATTTAGCTACTTTTGGCTTTATGCTTTTAAAATTTTGATAAGTCCTTTTTAACAAAGTCATTCAGCATGCACGCTGCATATCCTCTTCATTTTTATATATTAATTTGTGGAACCAAAATAAATAATAGTCTAGCTTACAAAAAATATATAGTTAATAAAACTTCTCTTCATATAGAAATTTTAGCTTGTAAGAGACCTGCACGGTCATGTGATAATGTCAGTGTTCAACTGAAATGACTCAGTTCTAGTAATGAAATAACTTGTTACAGAATGCCTCTGCCATTCACTGACTTTTAATATGTACTGAAGTACACTTATTGAAGGTCAGAAATGAAGTAGATGTAACTGTTTACTTCAGATTTTACTAAGATCTCCTGAATGTGGCAGAAGCAATTTTTAAAAAAGTGTCTAAATTATGCAGGAAAACAGCAATGAACAAGCTCATCATGTTGCTGACTATAAATATCAAATCCACCTCCATTGTTGCTCATAATCAATTCATTGCAAGTGAGCATTAAGTATTAATCCTGCAGTTATTTGAGATCCACAGATGAGCAGTCCGTGGTTCTTCTTTCATGACGGACACAAACTGTCTGTCTCACTGTTTAATGGAGTTGAAAGAGACTTTGATTAGTATTAATTAGTATTGTCTTTGTGGACCTGAGTCTCTGTCCTTACATTACAAAAGAAAACAAAGAGCGGAGACCATGTTTTCCCTGGTAACCCCAACCCCCTGATGGCCCCTCATCACCCTCCTGCTGGAGCTCTGCTTTGGCTCCATCCCAGTCTCCCTCCACGCCAGTACAATGTAGCAGGAAACTGAGCCATGACGCACTGCACATTACCGGATATCTCAGTTTCCCCAGCACTGGGATGACCATCTCTTGTTCACTAACAGTAATGAAGAAAGGAGGGGTGATGCGAGCACTGATTTGATCTCTCAGATCTTGTACAGTTTTGCATTAAAGAGGACATATTGGCCCTGAGCCTCAGATCGATCTTGTGGAAAGTTAGCCTTGTTTTGGTTAATGGATCTTGGGACTGAGTACAACCAGCCTGGATACAGTAGAAATAGGACTAAAGTGTGTATTTAGAAAGGAGGAGGAGTTGAAACAGGCAACTATATGAGAGGGATATGTAAATATGCTTGGATCCAAAAGCCTTAGATTGTCTTTCAGTTACATCAAGCCATTGTTGCTGTCAGCATCTCCTCTTTCCTCCTGCATTTTTCAAGAGGTCAGTTCTGACATGAAAGAAATAGCCATACAGGCTATACCTCAGTAGTTAAGACACTCAGTTATAATTAAATAAACTTTAATCATCTACCTGTCTTTGTATAACAAACCAGAGAAAATATGTTGAAAACGATTGATCCTTTCATTTAGCTGATATTTAACTTAAGTTTTTTTCAGTCTTGAGTCCTGCTTCTGAAACATAACAGTTGGTTTTAATAAATCACAAAGGTACAAAATTATGTTCTAATTTTGTATTAAATGGATAATTCAGATCTTTCGAAGTGGGATTTGTGAAAAGTTTATGAACAATGATTGTCTTACCTGCTGTAGATAGTGTTTGACCTGAGGAAGCCAGAGAATAAAGTGGACCATGTCCATTTTACAGGCTTTATGTAACTGTAATTTATTGGTCTGGCTCATCAATATGAATTATGCTACTGGACCAAACAACTCTGATTCTTATTGTTGTTTTTCTTTTGGCTACTCCCTTCTGCAGGGGTTGCCACAGTGAGTGAAACTGTGGGAAATACTTGGCGATTGTGTAACACTGGATGTCCTTCTTGAACAAGAATTCAAAAGACCGGGGCACTGACCTCTGAGTTGCCATGTACACCTGGAGCTGCCATGTTGAATTTTGGAAAAATCTGTTTTTCAGGTTTTAACTCTTATAGATTCATGCAGTTCTTACCTTGTTCAAATATTTATGTTTCTAGTAATTCTGATTAGTTGTTAAACCCTTAAAAAAAAAGGTCATGTGACACTATGATCATAGGCGGGACCCAAAAACCCACATTGCTCATGTGCAGATGCTGGGTCCAAAAATACAAGATGGCTGCCTGCCTCTGGTTTGGAAGGCAGACAGCTGGTCTATGGTTCCCTCACTGATAGGCACCAGGTATAAATCATGACAGAAAGACAGAGATCCCTGACTTTGCTGGTTTTCTGAGTATGTATATCTTGGAGGAGACCCAGTATGTGCCGGAGAGTTTATGCCGTGACCTGGGAACACCTTGAGATCCTGGAGGAGCTGGAGAGTGCTGCTGGGAAGAAGGATGGTCTGAGTTTCCGTCCTGAAGCCAACTACAGATAAGTAAATGAAGTTGAATATTTTGAAAAGTACAAAAGTTTCAGAAAACAAAAAGTTGTAGCATTCATCTCTTAAACAATATTTATTAAACATTTCCAAATGAATGGTTAAAAAAGCACAAAGAATTAAGTATGCAAAAAACGATACAGAAAGAAAGGACAAAAACAGGAAACAATAAAATACAAAAGTGTAAATCAGGGCTACTGAACTGGAGGCCCACGGGCCACATCTTGCCTGTGGGTGACCAAAATTCTGTCCACCAATTGGTTCATTCATCTCTTAAGCACAAACACCTGTTTTTCTACTAAATTACTATAAATTGTTTTAGTTAAACATAGATATGTTTCTACAGAAACTTCTGAATCTTGGCTAGAAGCTGGTAAAAAGCATTTCTTTAAACATCCAGACAGTTAAAACTACAAGCAGTTAAAGACAAAAGTGAAAATAAAATTAGTTTCAAAATTTGGCAAGTCATAGATGTCAAAATAACACGTGTTAAATAGGAGGCATAATCACTACTTTTACTTCATGGGGATGATTATGATTGATGATTGATCAGTTTGCACCTCCTCCACATAAACACTGTTTAAATACAGTTACTTGTTTTACCCCCCCTCAGTGAGGTTAATGTCAGTCTTGTCTAAAGTACCTCTAAGTGATACTTGAGTAAAAGTACAAGTATCTTACCATAAAAATACTTTGGTAAAAGTTAAAGTCTCCTCTAAAAATATTACTTGAAAGTATCATATTTTCTTTTTGTATTTAAATATCAAAAGTAAATTTCTGACATAAAATGTACTTAAGTATTAAAAGTAAAACTATTGAGTAAAAGTGAGCCGTGGATTTTCCAAATATGTATTTATTGGGAGGTGACCTCCCCCTAAAAATGCGTATATTGTTTCAAATGTGTGCAGCTGTTATGATTGTGTACAAGCTCTTACAGTCTCAGAATTGTTTATATTTATATTTCCCATCCAACCACAATTAAATTCACTCTATCCAGGAGGTGCAATTTATCTGGATAGTTTTTTTTAACAATAATGAGCCAGAATGGAACAAGAGTAATTACCTTCTACTTTTTAACTTTTTAAAGTGTAAGAAAGTACAGATAATGGTGTAAAAATGTATGGAGTAGAAGTAGAAAAATCAAGTAAAGTACAGATAACCAAAATTTATACTTAAGTACAGTAACAAAGTATTTGTACTTAGTTACTTTACAACTCTGGTTAACATCATCCAACTTTAATGATCGCTGGCCCCTTTCCCCTCCACAATCCATTTGGTGTTGCATTTCTGTTTTTTCAGTATGAGGTAAAGCACTTTATGTCACAGCAGCTGCTTTGTGAATTTTGTGACTTGAAAATAATTCTAATAGTAAAAGTTTGAAATATTTTTCCCAGTTTAAATGCAACTGGAGATTATACCTCCCTCCTGCCGTGGCAAAAGGCAGGGGATAATGTTTTTGCATGTATCTTTGTGTGTATTTGTCTGTTAGCAAAATATCTCATGAGAGAGTTTACAAATTTTATTCAAACTTGTGTAAAGCAATCAATGGATGCACATTTAGGACTGGACAAAAAGGACCAAAACTCAATCAATACATGAATTGAGCTAAAATGTGATGTGGTTCCTGAGAATCATTTACAACACGTACTCTGAGAGTGACTTTTATAGATATTGTGTATAACATTAATTTGAAATTGTACCAAAATGAGTACAAGTTAACATGAGATAATCTTATATAAAATGTGATTGGTGAAAAATCACTTCTTTAAGGAATATTAGAACTTGAATTGATTAAATGAACACACATTTGCTCAATAATTATTTTGATTGACAGGTTCATTGTCTGTCAAATTCTGTTCTGTTCATTTTCATGATGTCATCTGAAGGAGTAGGTGGAGCGCACTGCAGAAACACACACGTTCCGGTTTGTGTGTGTGTGTAACCAGGCTGTTTGATACCCTATCCTCCACATGAATCGGCTGTATACACTGAGTGACTCACAGATGAGGATGATGTAACTCTACAAAGAAAAAAAATTGCTGGAAAAACAGGAACTGCAAACTTAAGGGAATTTCAGAAAAATGCCTCCAAAGAAGAAAAACAGCTCCATAATTGAAGCAGAAAATGGTGAGCTATATATAAGTTTATATTTACACAGGTATTTTATCAACATTTATTTTAAATAAATGGCATAAAGTGAGTTATTTAGTACACTTTGTTGGTAATCATTTGTTTCCAGTTGGGATAGAGGTGGATGCAGAGTTTGACACTGGCAGTGAAGGTGAGCTCTTCAGAGAGCAGCAAATGTCTTTAATAAAACGATAAACAATAAGCAGTACGGTCAAGTTGTCCTAAACCTGTCTCTTTTATTTAAAGTGCAAGTTTTAGCTAATGAATTGTGGATTTGTCTCAGATGAAGCTAGGAAGAGAAGCAGAAATAGAAAAACCAAAGTGCAACGCAAAGTCAAACAAGTCAGTGATGATGAGGAGGATGATGAAGAGGATGAGGAAAAAACACCCCCAAAACGCAGAGGACAAAGGAGGAGGACCAAGCCYCAGGACAGYGATGAAGATGATGAAGGAGACAAAAAAAGAGTGACGAGCAAAACATCAAGAGCTGCCAGGAGGAAAGGTGGGAAGTCTTCCCGAAAGGAGGAAAGTGAGGAGGAGGAGGATGAAGAAGAAGACGAAAGAGAGAGCAAGAAAAAAAGAGGAAAAGCTGCATCTAAAAAGGAGAAAGAGGAGCAGAATAATGAGAAGAAGGGAAAAGCTGGCAGAAAAGATGAAGATAAGAAGGACAAGAAGAAGAATTCAAAGAGCAGGTGAAGCTTTTTCTTTGTAACAACACAGATAATGGATGTTTGTACTGAGAATTGTAAAATAAACCACAGTATTTGAGAAATATTCAATTGTATCACATAGCACTCACGTAAACTTCTGAATATGTAGATACATGACATTTAAATGTTTGTTTTTATCAACAGGAAACTAAATTGAATTTTCAATGAGCAGCAACATTAAAATATGCAAAAAACTTAGTGATTTAATCAACCAGGGTTTTGAATTACATGTAACAAAAGAAAATAAATAAAATCCTGAAAATAAAATCCCTAAGATAAAAGAACATCTCGACTCTTTGAGTTCAACTGTCCAGCAGAATGTGCGCAACCTGGGAGTAAATCTTGACTCAGATCTATCACTAGATAAACACATAAAGAATCTGATTTCTACATGCTATTTTCAGCTCCGTAATATCTCAAAACTCCGGCTCCTACTGTCCACTTCAGACTTGGAAATGGTAATTCATGCCTTCATTTCTACCCCCTTAGACTATTGTAATAACTTGTTCACCTGTCAACCAGAAACAGTTAAATCGTCTTCAGCTTGTTCAAAACTCAGCAGCAAGACTCCCAACCCGAACCTCCAAATTCACCCACATCTCCCTGATCCTGGCAGAACTTCACTGGCTTCAGGTTCAGTTCAGAATCCGGTTCAAAATCCTTGTCCTCACCTTCAGAGCTCTTCATGGCCAAGCCCCAGAATACATTAAAAGTCTCATTTCCCCTTACAACCCCAGACGAGACCTCCGCTTACAAGATCAAAATCTCCTTCTGGTTCCCCTCACTCGCTTTAAGACCCGTGGTGACCGTGCCTTCTCCTCTGTGGTCCCCAGGCTCTGGAATGAACTCCCTTTTAATCTGCGCTCCATCAATAACATTGTCTCTTTCAAGACACTCCTAAAAACTCACTTTTTCTCTCAAGCGTTTAGCTAACCATTTTCACTTTTACTGCCAGCCTACCTCCATTGTGAACGCTTCGCTAATCTTTGTTTTCTTTACTATTGAACGTACGCCATATTTTCTCTCCCGCATTCATTATGTTTTCGTGTATTACTGTATATTTTGACGTGCATTGACCTTGTGTTTGATTTACAATTTTAGAAATTAATTCCTAATTTGATGTTCAATTTTCGTTGCTTATGTGTAATTATGTTTTTCTGTTTCATTTTATTATTTTCACCATTTCATACTGTTAATGATTGTACAGCACCTTGTGAATACTGTATATTTCTGTGAAAGGCGCTTTATAAATAAAACTTTACTTACTTACTAACTAACAAAATTGGTTTTCAGAAAAAGTATGAAAAAAAGAAACAGCCCAGGTTAAATGACAGACATAGAAAAAATATTTACTGCTTATTGGTAAAAAGTCATCATAATGTATTTGAGCGTGAACATTCCTGTGGTGATGCTGCATGAGGCCTTCAGTTCTCTGATCTGCTGCAGCCTTTTTTTTCTACATCTGTATTTCTTTTTTCAGCTCTTTTGTGCCTTCTGATGACGATGATGATGATGATGACGACAATGACGACGATGATGATGATGAAGAATCAATGTCGGAGGGAGAGCTTGCTGCTCTGAAGGAGCAGGTGGAGGAGAAGAAGAAACTAATTGCCACCATAAGAAACAAACCCTGGCGCATGAAGAAGAGACTCCTGGTGCTCAAGTAAAGAGAAAAAAAAATCAATCTTCCTCCACTGTTGATGTTTTATTTTTTTTTTATCTTGCAGAAATGTAACTTTTTTTTTATCATACTTATTTCTGTTTAATGCTGGATTGAATGACGGACCTGATTAAGCTCCCAACATGAACAAATAGAATAGAATATAATAGAATATGTGTTGTCACTGCACACCAGGTAAAACTGCAGTGTTTCTCTGACCAGTGCATTATAAATACCCTAAACATTAATAAAACAGGAACAAATTAACATAGCACAGAGTAATAAAAGGATTTTAAAAAGAATATTCATATTTACTTAGCGTGCACACACTTTATGAGTTCAGGGATCTGATTGCCAGGGGAGAGAAACTATTTTTGAGCCAAGAAGGCATGAGGGTGAACATGTGCTGTCCCAGGTGTGAGGGGTCAGTAGTTATTGCCGTCTCTCTCCTGAGACACCACATGCTAGTGATGTCTTCCATCAAGAGTAAGAGGCTGTCACTAATGTGTTGTGTATGTTAATGACCCTCTGTCAGTTATTTATTTCTGCCACAGTGAATTAGGCCAACCAAGCTGTAATACAGTACATCAGGACATTCTTGATGGTGCAGCAGTAAAAGACCACTAACAGTTTCTCCTCCAGATAATCCAGTCCTTGGGAAGTGGAGTCTTTGATGTATTATTTACCACTGCCAATGTGTTGCATTCCAGGTCCCAATGAACTTCAAGGAGGACTCACTGTACGCAGATCCTCCTTGTGTTTCATGAAGTCGATCACATCTCATGAGTTTAGCTGGTGTTGAGCAGCAAGTTGTTTCACAACACCGACCTGCCAGCTTGTTGACCTTGTTTATAGTCCCTGTAAACAGTCTTGTCCGCCTCTGCTGATGAGGCCGATGACTGTGGTGTCACCCGCAAATTTGCTGATGGTTTTGGATGGGGTGGATGGATAAACAGTCATGTATACAAGGAGTACAGGAGAGGGTTCAGTAGCTACACGACCCTGAGGAGAGCCTGTGCTGTCAGTGCTTCTCTGACCAGTGCATTATAAATACTGTGTGGAGGAGCAGATGAAGCCAACCTTCACTGTTGGAGGATGGCGAGTCTGGAAGTTCTTGATCTAGTTGCAGGTGAAGTAAAGTAGAGCAATGTTGGTCAGCTTATCCACCAAAATATCAGGGAAAATGGTGCTACAGTCCATGAACAGCATCCTGACATAACTCTTTGGCTGCTTGAGGCTAAGTGATGCATGAAGAGATGTAGCTATGATGTTCTTTGTTGATCTGGTTCTTTTATAGGCGTACTGATGTGGGTCAAGATTTAAAGGGAGATGGGCCTTGGGGTGATGGTGCAGGATGAGCCTCTCAAAGTATTTGACAGCAAATAGATCTATAGTCATTGGGACAGAAATGATGGTCGCTGATTTCACTTCAGAAACGGTTTCAACCATTTTCTCCTGTTAGTTTTATACAGGTTTTTGTTTTCTGTCAAACAGGGAGGCCCAGGAGTTTATTGAAAGGTTTGAAGGAGCTCTTGGAAAAGGAAAAGGCCGAAGGCTCTATGCATTCAAAGTCATGATGACTAAGGTAATGTTCTCACTGTTGCAATGAGATCTTGTGTTGTGTATTTAGTCTGATTTTAACTAAGCTGTTATCTGACTGACATTTCTAGAAACTCATCAAGTTTAATCGGGACTTTGAGAACTTCAAAACAGCCTGTATACCCTGGGAGAGGAAGATCAAGGAAGTAGAAAGTTAGTATAAAAAAGAGCAATCACCCAGCAATAATATGCCTTTATCAATTTTTGAGTCAAGTTCTCTGTTGGTCTAACAGGTCACTTTGGATCATCTGTGGCRTCCTATTTTCTTTTCCTGAGGTGGATGTATGGTCTGAATCTGATCCTCTTTGGGTTCATGTTTGGTCTCGTGGTGCTGCCAGAGGTTCTTATTGTCCATGCAGGTGTAATCTAAGCTGTGTGCATTTATCAGGAATTTACTTTCTAACTTCTATTCTTCTCCTTCATGTTTAGGTTCTCATGGGTCTTCCTTATGGTTCCATTCCCAGGAAAACTGTCCCCAGAGAAGAACAGAGCACAGCCATGGACTACTCGGTGCTCTCTGACTTTAGTGTGAGGATCTTTGCTTGCTAAGATCTGTGTTAAAAACTTGCTCATCTATTTAAAGTTAACTGTATGTCTACTAGCAAATCATTTAAACATGGCATCTTACATTAAGAATCAAGGAGACAGGCCTGTAATGTTATGTCTTTCTAGGTATTTTTTAATTCTTGAGTAGAATTTACTGAAATTCATCTTTTATGTTATCAACAGGGTTACTGCAAGTATTCCATTTTGTTCTATGGATTCTACAACAATGAAAAGACAATCGGGGTGCTGAAGTTCAGACTCCCCCTGTCATACCTGCTCACCAGTGTTGGAATATTTGGATACAGCTTGCTGACGGTCATCAGGACGTACGCAAGGCTTTAAAATGTGTCACTCAACATGCATGCAGCTTGGGAAGTTCCATTTGTTTCTTAAAGGTTTTTTGTTGTTTCAGGATGGCTCGAAATGCGAATGAGGGAGGAGACGGGGGAGATGAGAGTGAATTTAACTTCAGTTGGAAAATGTTCACCAGCTGGGACTACCTGATAGGAAACCCTGAGACTGCAGACAACAAATACGCCTCCATCACCACCAGCTTCAAGGTTAGGTGTGTTTTTGTGGGACATCAATTTGGCAGAAAATTATAATAATGTTCAGATCAGTTTAGAGAGTTATGAATGCAAAACATAATTCTGTTTTTATTATTCTCAGTATTTTCCTCAATCAATCAATCAATCAATCAATCAATCAATCAATCAATCAATCAATCAATCAATCAATCAATCAATCAATCAATCAATCAATCAATCNATCAATCAATCAATCAATCAATCAATCAATCAATCAATCAATCAATCAATCAATCAATCAATCAATCAATCAATCAATCAATCAATCAATCAATCAATTCATATAGCACCTATAAATACAATAGTGTTGACCAAAAATGCTTCAGACATGTTACAATTTAGAAAAAAAATCCTGATGTAACTCAAACTGAGCTTGAGTTAAAAGCCTGTGTGATCAAGTGTGTTTTCTAGCGAGATTTAAAAGACTGAACAAGCTACAGTAGGAATCAAGAGGCAAGTTATTCCAGCGTCTTGGAGCCTCCACAGCAAACGCCTGATCTCCTCTACCCTTCAGTTTTGCTCCTGGCTGCACTAAAAATTTTTGATTAGAGGATCTCAGTTCTCTGTTTGTGTTATAAAAGTGCAAAAGAGGCAATAAATAACTGGGTGCCAAACCATTTAAAACCTGAAAAATAAGCCAAAGAATCTTAAATTCAATGCGAAAACAAACAGACAACAGTGCAAGTCAGCTAAAACAGGAGTAATGTGATCCTACCTTCTAGAACCTGTTAACCTGCAGTGAGATGTGAAAACATGATGAAGCTTGATGATGTATTTGATTTTTTTTTTTTTTGTAACCATTTTTCAATACCTGTGCTGCAGGAATCTATTGTGGACGAACAAGAAAACCAGAAAGATGAGAATATCCATCTCAGACGTTTCCTCAGGATTACTGCAAACTTGCTGATCCTTTGCTGCCTCGGTGGCAGTGGCTATCTCATCTACTATGTGGTGAAGGAGTCTCAGGACTTTGCTAAACGGGATCCACAAACACTCACCTGGTTTCAAAGCAATGAGGCAAGTTTAAAACACTGAACGTATAATGATAGTAAAACTAGAGTAATATGTGAGAGAAGTAAAATAACCTGCCTCATCTTTCATGTCAGGTGGAGTTTGTCATGTCTCTGCTGGGACTTGTGTGTCCTCCTCTGTTTGAGGCCATCGCAGAGCTGGAGGATTATCATCCTCGTATTGCCCTGAAGTGGCAGCTGTTACGAATATTTGCCCTCTTCCTTGGAAATCTGTACACCTTTCTGTTTGCCCTCTTTGATGAGGTCAATCAAAAGGTATGTGGAATACAGAACAACTGAAAGTATCTTCTAAACATAAAAATGAACAAATCTATTCTAGGCCAGTTCTTATCTTGTGTCGCTTCTGCTGCACCCTTGTTTTTTGCATTAAAACTTTAAAATTTCCAACTATTGGCCCCTCTCATTGTCCAGCAGTTTGGTCCTCCAAAAGCTTGTCTGTATGGAATGTGCCAGAATTTGTGTTTACTTTTAGGTTTAGAGTAGAGGTCTTCAACGATGTTTTCCTGACCCCTGGTGGGTCTGTGGAGATATTACAGGGGTATTGTGAGATTTTTGGTTAATTAGACTTTTTTTCATACATTTGCTCTATCAAATATGTTAATACACAGTTTTAACATATGTTTTATCWAGTACTAAGCCTAATTAATATAAAACACAATATATTACACAATATATAGCAACTTGTAGCTCACCCTACTCTTCCACTTGTGTGGTTTTACTTCACTTCAAACTTATGTCCTTTACCGGGGGCCAGGGAGTTTGAGGGTTTTGTGTGATATTTTTGCTGTTTCTAGGTCTGCGCTCTTATGGACAAAGATCTCTGAAATTGTTTCTGAGATCTGATGTAGCCCCAGATAGCCCTATGCTCTAGATCTAACTTTTTCAGTTTGAGGGTCATGGCACTAAATGCTCTAATGGCCACTGGGACTACTGACTGTTTGATTCCCCACACTTTCTGTACCTCCTCTTTCAACCCTTGGTACTTCTTGAGCTTCTTGTGCTCCTTCTTCATGTTACATATCATCACTGCCTTCTTCTCTTGCTAGTGAACTATGTCCGGCTGGGTAACATCACCTGTTTGTTGGTCTGGATCTGAAAGTTCCACATGATCTTAGCTCTTTCATTGTCCACCACCTGTGGTGGTGTCTCCCACTATGACTTTGGGACCTCCATTCCATTTTCGGCACAGATGTTCCTGTATATTATACCAGCTACTTGGTTAGGGTTCTCCATGAATGCTTTGTTTGCCTCTATCTTACACCTTGCTATTATGTGTTGGACTGTCTCAGGAGCATCTTGGGTCTTGTCTTGTAGGGTAGACACCAGCCTTTACTGCTCTTGTGCTGAGTAGGCCCTACCTGTTCTTGTGCTGTTTTGATTATTGCCTCTGTGCTGTCCTTCAGTCCAGACCTCTCTAGCCATTTGTAGGAGTTGTTGATATCATCCACTTCCTCAATCTGCCAATGGTAAATGCTGTGCATAGATTTGTCTTTCCTTCATTGTTCATGTTGTTCTTGCTCTTTGGAGGATTTCCTGCTGATGTACTCCAGGATCTTAGATTTTTTTATCCTATGTAATGACTTGGACTTTCACTAGTCAGTTGCCTCCCTCTGTTCTCTTAGTGTACAGTCTCAGGGTTCTGAACTCCATAGTGAAGAGCTTTCAAGTCTTGGTGTCAGTGGCTTCTATCTTCTTTTTTTTGGCCAGGGTATTTTAACAGCTGGGTATCTGATGGTCAGCACTGCATACACATTCATGGTCTGATTTTGTTCTTGCCATCCAGCTGGCTCTTCAGGACCTGCATTTCCTTTTTTTAGGTACTTTGTGGCTAATTTTCTTGTGGCCTCATTGTGTTTGCCATTTGCCTGTGGGATTCCAAGGTATTTGTAGATGTCCTGGACATCTGCAATGTTGCCTTAAAGTACTTTAACCCATTCAGTTGTGATCACTCTTCTTCTCTTGCATCCCATTCAATTGCCTATATCCAGTCTGTACAAAGTCTGCTGTATATCCTGGTAAGTGGATCTGTGAGTCAATGTCTTGGTCATTCTTGGCGTATAGCTAGATGTCATCCATGTCAAGATAGTGACTGATGTTTGTTGCACTTTGGGACCAGTATCCAAAGCCCCGTTTGCAATGATCTAGTTGAAAGGGTTCAGGCTTATGCAGAACAGGAGTGGGGACAGTGCATCACCTTGGTGTATGCCACGTTTGCCAAGTTAGATTTGTCTTCTACATTCCCATTATGCTCTTAAGTTCTTATTGTCCTGTAGAGTTCCAAGCACTCCAGTATCCATGTGTGTGAGTCATAAGCTTTCCTGTAATCAGTCCAGGCATTGCACAGGCTTATGTTTCTGGTCATGAGCTATGGTTCTTTTGACCAGTGGCTGGTGTTTGGTTCGTCTGGTGATAGTGCCAATTCCCACATGTGCCTCGCTCAGGTATTGATACATATGTCTTTTCATCTTAGTTGCTATCGTAAGCAAGTGTTAAAAAATGGGCAGCCTGAATAATGTATTTAGGACTTAATAAAAATTAATACATTTTCCATCACTATAAAGCCTGATAGGGGCTTCCGGGTTGTACAAAGTCAGGTGAATGGCAAGTAGTTGGATGGGATTGGATGGTCTTACTTCTTACTGTTTTAAATCATTTGTCTGATTTTACTTTTAGCATTTGCAACCCAAGCCCATTTCATTTTTTTCGGTTATAACTAGTTAACAACAAAGACAAAGGGTGGTTGGATAAGCCTTTTACATAAAGTGTAGTTATACATTAAGGACATTAGCCAAATTATTCAGCACAAGAAGAAGAAAGGGCAATAAGAGAAGGAAGTTAGCACACTAGCACCATTTCAGCATATCTAAATGTTCTTTTGTTTTGATGATTTGGTGATTAATAAGTTTTTATAAATTGATTGCAATCCATTCATACACAAAAAATAAAACTCTATATGGAAATCTTCTAAAAGCTAATAGCTGTTATGCTTCAGCATATTTGTTTTTACACTGTCTGAACTCAGCTGTATCATTCATCATGAGCTTGAATTTGTATTTTCAGCTGGAGGAAGAAAAATCAATAAAGAACGCCACAGAGTGGACTTTCAATCAGTACTATGCCAACTACAGCTCCTTCTACAACACGACAGCTGTGCCTCCTCTAATTTTGAACCCAGCTGATGTAATCAGAGGACCCTGCTGGGAGACTGCAGTCGGGCGAGTCAGTACTAACATTATTATACTGCTGGTCAAAGATGACTTGCATTTTTAATCCATTGTCTGATCCAGTTGTGTGGTTTAAATTAGTAATTGATTAATTTTTGTCCTTCTGCAGGAGTTTGTGAAGTTAACTGTGTCAGATGTCCAAGTGACATATTTGACTATTCTAGTCGGTGACTTTGCCCGAGCTGTTATTGTTCGCTTTCTCAACTACTGCTGGTGCTGGGACCTGGAGGCTGGTTTTGTAAGTAACCATAAAGAATATGTGTGGATTTTAGCCTTGTTGTTTTTATTCTTGTTTATTTGACTAAATGTAAAACTAGATTTTTAATTAGCTATAAAAACATACTTATTCTGTGCTCTGAGTTCTTTATTATTTAATAAGCAACAGTCATTTTTTGATGCATGAATGAGACCTGGATGTATCTTTAAAAGACTGAACCTGTGTAGTTTTAGCATTTTACTTTGTCCCCGTTGAACACTGTGTAAATACAGCAGAGTTAGTAACAGACCCAAGTGAACCTGATACACTATGTTGACATCTGGCAAGACAAGTGATCCCAAACGCCGAGGGAAACAGGAGACTTCAATGAGAACTTAATTACAGAGAGGGAGAGAGAGACAATAGTTAGCAGCAGATACAAAGTGTATTGACCTGTGGTTTTTTAATTCAGGTCAACAATTTATTCATGCCATTGTCTTTATTCCAGCCTTCCTATGCAGAATTTGACATCAGTGGAAATGTATTGGGTCTCATCTTCAACCAAGGAATGATCTGGTGAATTGACTCATACTCATGGTTTCTTTCTTGCTTATTGTCTGCACTAAAATCCAACGAACAATATACTCATAAGACAAAATGTAGCTACTTTTGGACTTATAATTAACTACAAATATCACCAGCTTCTTCAGATATGATTCCAGCTGATACTGTAGTTATAAACTCCAAAAGGCTATGCAAAATATTTATTTAAAAAATATCGTTTGAAATGATTTTACTTCTTCTGTCGTCCTCAGGATGGGAGCCTTTTATGCTCCAGGTCTGGTGGGTATTAACGTACTGCGTCTCCTGAGCTCCATGTACTTTCAGTGCTGGGCAGTGATGGCCTGTAACGTCCCTCATGAGAGAGTTTTCAAGGCCTCGCGGTCTAATAACTTCTACATGGGCCTGCTGCTGCTTATCCTGTTCCTCAGTGTGTTTCCTGTCATCTACAGCATGATGACCTTGTCCCCGTCCTTTGACTGTGGACCATTCAGGTCATCAGACACTAAAAACACAACCTGTTTCACTATTAGAATTAAACCTGACTGGTTTATTACTTTACTTGTCTTTTCTTCTCTCAGTGGCAAAGAAAAGATGTATGATGTGGTTATAGAGGCAATAGATCAGGATCTACCAGCTTTCATGGGGACTATTTTGTCGTATGCGAGCAACCCTGGACTCATCATGTCTGCAGTCCTCCTCATGATGTGAGCATAAAATATATGTTGAATAGAAACACTGTGGTTTGGATAGAAAATAATGGAGGATTTTGCTCACGTTCACACCAAGACCAAGAAACAACTGTTATTTTTTTCTGAATCAGTTACATGGAGCATCAGTTTTACCCTACAACAAAATGTAATCTGGAAAACGTCAAGTAACTAAAACCAGTTGACCTCCTTGTCATTTTGAATGTGACCACAACAAAATTAATTGTTTTTTTTACAAAAAAAAAAATAATGCTAGCAATAATAATAATCTGTTTAGAAAAGTTCAACAACGTGTCTTTCCATTATTTTGTTGTTTAAAATTGAAGATTCACACAGGAGCTACCATGTTGTATTTTTTGAAGCCACAGTTGGGACGGTGAGCACATTTTCCCAACATTTGTTAAGCATCAAATAACTAAATTTATTAGAAAAATTAATATCAGAACATATTGCATCAAGAAATTCATTAATCAATAGAATTTAACTCCTGGAAATAACAAACAAATGTGTTTTAGATTTATTTTTATTTTTTGTCAAGCAAGTGTCCAATTATAATGGGCTTAAATTTATTCTTCAGTTTCTGTGATTTGTGTCATAATCTCCTATTTGTTAATGTATGTTAATGCATTAACTACAGTTATCATTCTGTTTCACAGCTTGGCCATATATTATCTGAACACCGTGTCAAAGGGATATCAACAAGCAAACAATGACCTTAAAAAGAAGATGCAAATGGTCAGTATGAGTGCTGCTTTTTTAATAGGATTTTTCCAAAAATTCTTCGATGAACAATATGATTTTCTGCGTAACTGGTTGATATTTTAGGCACGAGACGATGAGAAAAACCGCAGAAACAATAAAGACAGCACTAATCAAGTGATGAAGGACTTGGAGGAGCTGATGCCAGACAAATCTCTTATGCCACCTCCTGCTAAGGAGGAACCACCTCCCGGTACACTGTCTATGATGTATTTTTATGTGCATCCAATTGTCCTCAACACACATTCAGTTTATTGACACACACACACACACACACACACACACACACACACACACNCACACACACACACACACACACACACACACATATATATATATTGTCTTTACTTCTGTGTTTGCAGAGGTCGTAACAGAAAAGAGCAGCAAGTCGACCAAAACAAAGCCAGGTACAGCAGGGAAAGGTGTTAATGTGCAGAAGGAGGTGTCACTGGCTGCCCCAAACCCCAGAAGACCTGTGACCCAGGCCCCGGGGCCAAGAGGGGGGCCTCCTGTAAACACCAGGGGGCCTCAAGCTGGGCCTGGCAGAGGCAGAGGTCAGGGTCCATCTCCAAGAAGATAAACTGAACACCTCAATGCAAGTAACTACTGCACAACTAAAAAAGGAGGAGGCTTCACTGAATTATTTAAAATTTTACTTTTAGGTGGAATTTATAAGTTGTGAATGTTTAGATTTGTAAATAAAATAAATACATTTAATTCAGCTAAAGAAGTTCACAGAAAAGCTTTTGTTAAAAATATTAAATTGTGAAAGTTTATACATAGATCAAAGGCATCTGTTTGTGAAACCTTTAGTTGCTCTTTGAATCCAGTAAACAAAATCAAGTAACAGTTTATCATGTTCAATAATTAAATTGATACAATAATTTGAAACTGTTGCACATATATCTGAGTGCCTGGAAAAACGCACACAAACAGAAGACATTTGGTCCATTGTCATCTTCATCACTTTGACTGATCCGTCTTTGAGAACCTGAGAGGCACCAGCAGAATGCCAAGAGGAGAAAAACAAGGTGAGATGTGTTTACATTGCTAAAAAAAATGTTTAAAAGCCTGTTTATGAAACAAAAAAAATAGAGCAATATCTTTGAGATTTTTTGAGCCCATGTATTTGTGTTTTTTTAATGGAGGAAGTGGTGAAAATTAGCTTTTTAACTGCAACAAATCTGTTTTTCTGTTACAATACGTTTTGATCTGCTAACAGGAGACAACTTTTAAACACTTGAGCATTCATCAGTGATTCATGTGATAATGTTCTGACAAATAATGTCAACAAATCAGAAATAAATTCTGTAAGATGATTTTACTCTTGTCACATGAAGCACATGTTTAAAGTAAAAAAAAATCATGCAGTTTGTTTTTAAGAGTGTCTGTTTTAACAAACGCAGATTTCAACAATTTTCTCAACAAATTTCAGTCTTACTTTGATTTTGGTGTCGTTATAACAAAGGTTTTATCCGTTTCTGCAATAAAGCACAGAGCTGTGTGAAATATGTGACCTCAGTTTTTAAGAGAAACAGCTCCCTCTGATGGTAAATTACTAAACTTACACCAAAATGTCATCTAAGCATCTTTATTTATTTATTTATTTATTTATTTATTTATTTATTTATTTATTTATTTATTTATTTATTTATTCATTTATCCATTTATTCATTTATTCATTCAAATCTTAGGTAAATTAGCCATATTTATTAGAATTTACCACCAGAAATAAATTCAGATTCAGAGAAAGTTGTGAACAAATGTTTTAAAGTATTGTCAAACGCAGGTAAATGAGCAAAAAAAGATTAAGTGGCTTTAAAATTAAACTGAAAATGCATCTACACAGTCAATGTGGCAATAGTTAAGTAAACTTTTAAAGTTGGGATTATTTCCCATATCCTGAACCCCATTATGGTGTGGAAGTGGACAGCAGAGGTGGTCCAACCTGCAGCTGAGGGACGTCTTGTTCTCTGTGGTTCTCCTCCTCCTCCTGAAACGTTCCAAACTGCAGCCTGCTGAGAAGCCACCCGGCTGCTGCTTACATCCAAGTTACACAGTTTGCTGTAAGGTGAGTTTTTTGCAACATTTATTTGCTTCTAATCTAAGAGGTGGAGCAGAAGGAAAGGGCTTTTTAAAATTGGTTATTCTGAACTATTTTTTAAAATCAAAATTTTAAACAGGAAGCTCTAAAGAAAGCCATCCTCGCCTTTCTTTTCCCTGCCCCTCTTCTGTCTTCCTGTCTTTGTTCCTCAGGAACATGCACAGTTAATCAGATTTTGATTTGTTCTCCTGGGACCAAAGGTCTCCTGTTTTCCCTTTTAGTTTTTGCAGATTTGCAACATGGGGCTAATGTCAGGAAATCTGCTGGTCAGCGTGGACCCTTCTTCTCCTCTGTTCATTGCCACTGTTGCTCTCTGTCTTCTCGCCCTGGTCCTGGTGGTCCTCAGGATCCAACAGAGCCAGTTGGACCAAACAAAGTTCCCCGCTCCTCCAGGCCCCACACCCTGGCCCCTTGTGGGCAATCTGCTCCAGCTGGGGGACCAGATGCACCTTTCTCTGACTCACTTTGGGCTCCAGTATGGTGATGTTTTCCAGGTAGGATGATTTTTTTTGTGTTTAAAATTGTGTTTTAGATGAGAAGAGGATTCATTCAGTTAGTTTTAGTCTTTTTTTCTGTTTTCCTCAGCTGCATTTGGGCTCCTTAAGGGTTGTGGTTCTTGGTGGGTTCTCAACCACCAGGCAGGCGCTGGTTCGACAGGGAGATGACTTTGCTGGACGACCTGAGCTTTTCACATTTTCTGCTGTGGCTGATGGGAACAGCATGACCTTCAGTGAGAAGTATGGCCCTGCGTGGCTGCTCCACAAGAAGCTGTGTAAGAACGCCCTCAGGTCCTTCTCCCAGGCAGAGCCCAGGGGATCCGGGGCCACCTGCCTCCTGGAGGAGCACATCTGCGCCGAAGCCACTGAGATGGTGGAGGTGATCCGGGCTAAAGCTGTAAAAGACTCAGATACAATGGGCATAGATCCATCAATCTCTTTAGTCACCTGTGTGGCAAATGTAGTGTGCGCCTTGTGTTTTGGGAGAAGATACAGCCACGACGACGAGGAGTTTCTCACTATTGTCAACATCAACAACGTGGTCCTGAAGCTCTTTGCTGCAGGAAACTTGGCTGATTTCTTCCCTGTGTTCCGGTACCTGCCGAGTCCATCTCTGAGAAAACTGGTCCAGTACATTCACAGGATTAATGGATTTATGGAGCAGAGGATTGAGGAGCACATCAACACCTTTGATAAGGTAAAGAAGCCCACTTACACACTTTGTTTTTATAGAGGACTTCAGGACTTGCAGCTGTAGAGACAAGGCAAGAGGAAGCATAGACCACTATGATCACAGAAGGCAAAGATCAGTTTTAGAACTGCAAAGTCTTGCATGTCAGGTAGTGTTGTTTTCCTTAAATCTTTCCCACTAATTTGCCTCTGATTAATCTGACCTTCCACACACAGCAGTGAGTGGAACTGTAGCCAAAAAAAACATAACAAACAAAATCCCCAACTATTGTTCTTGTGCAGAGTGGCTAAAATGCCCACCCCATTTAAGAATTAGCAACCAAGTAGAAGACGCACGTCTTATTCTAACTAATTACTGCTTTCCCCTAACTGATTATTTAAAATTTCAAATCTAATTTACAAATTCATGTTAAAGGAGCAGTTTCCACATTGTTGAAGACAGAGACAATAAAAAATAATGTGGTGTTTTTTATATTTTACTGTATGTGTGTGATTATAGAACCACATCCGGGACATCACCGATGCTCTGATTGCACTTTGTGAGGGCCGAGAAGAAAATAAAGAAACGTCTCTGCTCTCCAACTCTCAGATCATTCACACCGTCATAGACATCTTCGGTGCAGGTTAGACAAACTCAAAGTCCTGCTTAAAGAACAATAAGTTGAGGTGGATCATACTAATTAAAATGTGTTCCTTCACTCGTTTTGTTTGTGCTCTTCTGAAGGTTTTGACACCATCTTTGCTGGGCTACAGTGGAGCCTGTTGTACCTCATCAAGTTTCCTGACATCCAGGATAAAATACACCAGGAGATAGGTAGTGTTTTCTGTTCTAACATGACACATTAGTGCAGTTTATTATGTACATTTGTGTATTCACTGCTTGTGCGCATGGCATCCTGTTAGAAGAGAATAAAACACGTGGAGTACAGTTTGTGTTTTGTTAATAATTATTTACAGTCTTATTCCCCAAAAATAACAGGTTATTTGTTAATGTTTCAACCATTTTGTTGCTAATGAGCCTCAGTTTGTGGCTGCTGGTTAATGAAAGAAAGAACCAAACTTTAGAAAAAAAATTGCTTCAAACACAACCCATCTGACTTAATTACTAAGGGGAGACCAGGGACAGTTGCAACACTTTTTACATTTGACTCTGTTACTCAGAGATGGTTTGAATTAGACAAACCCAATTTTAACACAATAAACTTACATCTGTCTGTTATTAGTCAAAACCATTTATAAATGATTAAAGCATGTACATTCTTCACAATGTGCATTTGAAAATGAAAAGTCAGATGTTGCAACTGACCCCGGGTCCGGGGACAGTTGTGACATTTTTTGGGGGGTGGTTGCAACATATTATTAATACAATATATTTCACTGTAAATAAAAGTTTTATTATTTTTATATTTATATTATTGCTAAATTAATAAAAACTGTAAGTTATAATGATATTACAGTGTTATTTATTTATTCTTTTTGATCAAATGATGAATATAGATTTGCCTTGATGAGTAGACCTTACATACAGATGTGAAAGACTCTAATTGATATAAAACACAGTTGACTTTTAGAGACAAGAATGATAGAACAATTTGTGAGGCAATTAACTTTTGTTTTGCCTGTTGTCACTGTACGCCAACATTGTGCAAAATTTACATTGAAAGAAACTGAGACTTTAAAACCATTGTTGGAAACAACAACTGTAGAGAATACATCTTAAACACTTTTATGTTTTAAACTATAAAATTGTCATGAATACCCAATACCCTTTTAGGTATAAACTTTATTTCAACATTTGAATATCATCTTTATGCTCTGTTTTTATTTGGATTTACCACAACTGTTCCCCTTCCTGTCAGCCATGATAAAACCTCATGTTTTAGCTAAATAAGCTGATCTGGATACATGTTAACCATATTAGTTAAAAGTCAACATATCACTTGTTTAAACCAGATAAGTTTGAGCTGGATCACATAAACAGTGATAACAGTACAACAAAAATAAAGCTGGGCAAAAAAAAAAAAAAAACTTTGGTACCTCAAAAACTGTTTTTTTTTTTTCAAAGAAATCCTGGAGCAGGTTTTGAATCTGCTTACTTTTTCTTTGCATGGTGGGACATCTAACTGAGCATGTACAGTGTGAGTGTCGTCACTCTAGCTTGTTTCTGTTTGGAGAAAAATGACGTGTTGCAACCGTCCCTTGTTGCTTCTGTTCCCGGTTTCCCTAATATGAAATTCAATCATGGAGCAACACTAAATATCTTCTAAAACAATTTGAAACCAGGTATCTGTGATGTTTTAGGCAATGTCAACATAATGAACGTCCATCTGAGGGTCCGTTTCAAGACAGAGGGAAACTCACAAAAGCTCAGCTCAATCTGCTGACACCACAGACGCTTTTGAAGCTGGCTGACTGAACCCACTCTTCAGGGGCACGGTGCATTTCCACTGGGAGAAGATGGGGCAGAGAGGAGAGGGAGGTTGTACGGGGGGACTAAGAGGTGACAGGATGAATCAGAGCAGGAGCAGGTCAGAGAGTTCAAGCGAAATACAAATGCAGTAACATGCAGGGCATCAACGCTACCCTACTTATGATGAAATGAAACAAGAACATTTCTGAGGATGTTTAGAAGGGTGCCAACGCAGCTGCTGCCTGAAATACCAGCACACATCTCTATTTCCAAACTGACTTTTGTAACAGTCTAAAGGCTGTCACACTATAATGTTTAATTTGATTAACTTACGCCGACTTGTGAAAATGTATTCATGATTGTTTTACTCATGTCGGCTATAGATTTGATCTAATTGTTAGCATTACAGGTCTAATAGAGGCTTCCAGTAGATTTTTTAAATATTCCATCTGTGGTAAAATCTTCAGAAAAATACAATTTAAAGTGAGAGTGTGTAAAATCTGGTTATGGTATCAAAGTGCCAGTTTCTCCTGAGAGGATACAGCAAGCTTGAGCTATGTATAGATTGTTTCTTTTTCATTCTTTTCACCAAAATCTATATTGTCGATGTGTAATTTTTCAAATTGTGTAAGATACTGCTAACAAAAGCAGTAACCACACATTTCCTAAACAAGCCACTCATTTTGTTGTAACTGGCAATGATTCACAAACTATTAAAGGTTTTTATAGAATTGACCAAAGCATAAAGAAAACATAAAATGTTTAATTTGAGGAATGCTTTTGCCTTTGTGCTCAGATTGAATTGGATAGTAACGGTGTGTTTGGTATCAAACTGAAAGGAAACTTAACATGAGTTTAAAATGAAAATAATGATGCACGGTTTGTCCTTGTTTTTAAGATGACCACATTGGCTCAGCCAGGCTGCCCAGGTTTGCAGATAAGCCCAATATGCCATTCACTGTAGCGTTCATACACGAGGTGTTTCGTCACTCTTCATATATTCCTTTCACCATACCTCACTGGTAGGCCCAAACTCTGTGCAGTGCATACAGTAAACCTTTACTGTACTGAAAATGACTTGTTCTCTTCTCTTCAGCACCACCAGAGACACCTTCCTAAATGGATATTTCATCCCCAAGGACACATGTGTTTTCATCAATCAGTACCAGGTTAATCATGACATGTGAGTGATCACATGCTTTTTAAGATAAGTGTGAACTGTGCATGATTCAATCATCTTTTAAATTCCTAACTCTGAGTGAAAAAAAATAAAGTTTTTTGTTTCATTTAGGGATCTTTGGGGTGATCCGGAGAAGTTCCGCCCCGACCGTTTCTTAGGTCCGTCTGGGCAGCTGAACAAGGAGCTGATGGAGAAGGTCCTGATCTTTGGTGTGGGGAAGAGGCGATGTGTTGGTGATGTGTTTGCACGTTTGGAGATGTTTGTCTTTCTCACTACGCTGCTTCACGGGTTGAGGATTGAAAACGTTGCCGGGCAGAAGTTGGATCTCGGTGCAGACTTTGGTCTGACTATGAAACCACGACCGTACAGGATTGCAGTCTCCTCCAGGTTTTAGGCCCACTGAACTGGACTAGAGGTTTCTGTTTTCCTGACAAACTGGGAAAGAACCATGGTTGTGAGTTTGATAAAGATGGCCAAGGGTGAACTTTGAATGAGGTCCAGTTTTACCAAATTAAAACTGAATGTAGGCTGAAAACAGTCCCTCATTAAGGGCCTTTATCTGGACCTTTTTATTTACAGTTAGACACTGAAAGAGGGAAATAAGTCTTTGCAACATGATGATTGGTGCCTCAGGCCTGAAACTGTTTATTATAACTTTATCACAGTTGAGCTATTATCTCCTTTGTTTCCTCCTATCTCTTGTTGATTTGTGTCTTTCGGGCCAAAGGCCACAGTGCCTCTGTGTTATTTTATCATTTGTTTATTTCTATTTGTTTTTTGCAGCGGTGTCTCATTGTGAAAACCACCCACTGTCATCTTAATGTGGGTGAAGGTTATGCTAAATATTCCTTCCTCTGTGCTTCCTCACTGGCTTTGTTAGGACACATAAACAACATACAGTAAATGTAGCCTTGGGTCTTTTGGAACATCCTTTTCCTGGCTCACTATTCTCTTGGCCTCCAAAACACCCAGATTAGAAGCAATCCCAGATATAAATGTGAAATAAGGCAGCTCTGTTTCACAATTAGAAAAGTCTGGAAGACAGGAGTTTGATTGAGTTATCCAGAAAATCAAATTCCTTAAATGAAAAACAAACATTTAGTCAGGACTGTGAACTGTGTTTTATTTTCCAGCAGAGTCCAGCTAGGAAAAAAATATTTCATGATTGTAGAAATATTTGAAACAGTAGTGTCAGACTTATATTAGTTTATTTATCATGAAATTACAAATAAATCTTATACATTTTGAGTCATTACATATATTTACGAAATCACTGTTTGTTTCCTTTAGGAAACCTTTTAAATTAACAAAGCACTAATTATTACTAATTATTGTTTGTTGTGTGTCATTTACCTGTTGTTTCTTCTTAAATAATGTGAAATAAAGTCAAGTAACTCAGTTGTACAGAAGATTCTTGTGAAATGATCTACAAAAATATACTGTGTTTAAATCTGTCTAAATAAACATTACATTTAAAAGGGACTGACAACATCTGAAAGGATTCTTTTTGGTGAAAAACAACAAAACATAAATACTCTATAAAAAAATCAATCAATCAATCAATCAAAACTTTATTTGTTCAGCACTTTTAACAGCCAACAGCAACCAAAGTGCTCTACAACAGAATAAAAATACTATCAGATAAAATTAAGTAAACACTTCGGTAAGTAGAAAGAATGCAAAAAAAAACAAACAAAAAAAACTGGCCTACTGCATGTGCTCTCTAGAATTAAAAGCCAAAGCAAAAAGATGTCTTTAAAAGATGTTTAAAATCATCAAGTGATCTGGCAGACCTCACAGAGGGAGGAAGCTTGTTCCAGAGTTTAGGAGCTACGGCTGAGAAGGCTCTGTCCCCTTTAGTTGCCAACCGAGTCCTGGGAACCACCAAGAGCATCTGATCTTCAGATCTCAGAGCTCTACCAGGATGGTAGTGATGTATAACTTCAGACAGATAAGGAGGTTTCAAACCATTTAGATATTTAAAAAACAAAAGTAGAACTTTAAAATCAATCCTAAAAGGAACAGGCAGCCAGTGAAGAGAGCATGGTACAGGGGTAATATGCTCACACCATCTTGTCCCTGTTAACAAACGCGCTGCTGAATTTTGGACCAGTTGGAGATGGTGGAGAAGAGACTGGTCAGTTCCACTATTAAGTGAATTGCATAGTCCAATCTAGAAAAGATAAAAGCATGAATAACCCTCACAAGGGCATCGTAGGGAAGATAAGGCTTAACTTTGCAAATAAGCCTTAAATGATAAAATACTGGATCTGGACCACTGCACTGTCCTGTCTGTCAAATTTAAAGTTGACAAAAATCACCCCAAGATTCCTAATAAAATCACAGTTTGAGTCCAAAGTACCAACAGCGCTGTTTAATCCTGCCAGTAGGTCTGATTTTCCAAATGTCAGAACCTCTGTTTTGTCTTCATTTAAACAAAGAAAATTGAGCTCTGTCCAGGATTTAACATCCCTTAGACAGTTCTGCAGGTTCTTAGTCCTCTGAGCTCAATCAGATCTCAAAGGCAAATAAATCTGAATGTCATCTGCATAGAAATGAAATGATACATCTTATTTCCTGAAATATGAGCTACAAAAAATACACCTATAAAGAATGAACATTCCTTAAATTTACAGTCAAATAATTGTAGCTCTTCTCACAGGATGATAATTTTTGGTTGTAGTTAATAATAACTACTCCAAGAAATAGTTTTAATCTATAATTTGTAAAACACTTTCAAATAACATAACTCTACTGAACACACTGTTATTAACTTCCAAAACATTATAGAAAGACTGATTTTGAATTTAGTGGTGTTTTTGATAGTTTTATGTTTTTAATTTGTTTCAAATAATGACTTTTAATTAGATTATTTTTTTTTTTTGGGGGGGGGGGGTATTTTCGGTGTTTCCTGCATTATCACTCTAAGAAATGAAATGTTGTATTTACTTAACCATGTTATGCCAACTGGTTCCACTTAACTGAATTGAGTAAATCCAAAGCAATATACAGTACCCAATTTCTAACCAAAGAACGAGTATGTTGCTTTGAATTTACTCACCTCAGTTAAGTGGAACCATACTGACATCTGTTTTTTAGAGTATACTCTGTCAGTCTGAGTGTTGTCCTTAAATTTCTCTCTGTTGTGTTTTACTTGTTTTACTTCCTGTCTTTGTTCTTCTTTGGCATCTGGTTTAGCATTTTCCATTGTGCTGTAAAACTCCATTTCACTGGTTTATTATCTGTCTGGCAGCCTCCTGAGAGTGTTTAAAATTGGGGTTTCATCTCATCCACATCAGAGCTGCACAGGAATGGTATTAAAGTAATCAAGGTCAGCACATTCTGATTGGTGTCTACATAAAAGCAGCCAAAAAAAAATCACTTTTGCAAAGTTGGAAATCATGACTTTTTTGTGGTGCGTTGAGGACCAGAGTGGGGTTTACAGTTTACATTAGAGGAGTGTAATAATTAGGCTAAAGAACACCAGTGTTAAAAAGCCACCCTGACCCAAAAAGTGTCTGAGTCCACAACAACTTCAGACAGAACATGGAGTGGAACAAAACAGCTGAAAAATATATGAGTAAATCTCTCAACGATTCCAAAAGGAAATAAGTATTTGGTTTTACAGAAAACTGAGATAACTCAACATTTTTTATTTTAAGGAATACATCAAAGTTTGGCACTTTTTCTATGCCTCCTTTACAGCCTTTCGGATGTCCTATAATACTAATAATGTCTTAAAAAAAGATCTAAAACTGTTTTGTAAAGAGTTGCTTTTCCCGGAGGATAAATTTGACCCAACAAACGACAAAATGTTTGTTTTGGTGCGTTTCGTTTTGACTGACTGATGTCCTGTTAGACTTTTCATTATCACACAGGGCCCTGAATCTTAAACACTTTATTCTAAAGTCCCACACAAACAGTGCTCGCTACAAAACATCCCCAAACCTAAAAAAGCAAATGATATCAGTGCCCACGTTGTGATGTCATCATATCATCAAATGAAATGTTAAAACTGAGAACAGCTTGATTCAAATTTACAGAACATTTCAAACATCCACATCCTCCACAGCTTGTCCAGACTTCAGTCTCATGATCACCTGTCAGAAATTTTAAAAAACGTTACTGTGACTTATCAACATTGTCCAGTGACCCATACCTCTTATTTTTGTTTTAATCTAAATCAAGGTATCCTAACATTTGAGTATAACTGACCTCCTTCAGCTGAGCAATCTCTTTGCTGTCCACATTTCTCTGAGCGTTGTTGGTTATGGCCTTGACTCTCGTTGCATAACTGAAGAGTTCAACAGGTTCAGGAGTTAATGAGCAGTTTATTGTCGTCAAACGTCTGTTTCGTCTGTTTCTTACATAAGAGATGTGAGAGTCTCATCGAGGTTGCATTCTGAAGGGGAGACGTTGACGATCATCAGAGTTTTGGCATTGCCGCCTAAAGAGTCCTGCATTACCTGAGAGACGAGGATGAAGAATCAGAATTGTTGTATTTTTCAATGTTAATCTGAATTAGAGGTAATTTGGTGATTTTTTTTTCTCTCTGTACCTGAGTCAGCTTGCTGTTCCTGTAGGGAACGTGGGGCAGCTCTGCAGAAAGAGCTGAAATCACGTCACCCAGAGCACTCAGTGACTTGTTGATGGAGTTTGCCTCCTGCGCAGAGGATGAAGGGGACTCATGAGAAACATCGGATGTTTTCAGTCATTGGTGAGTCTCAGTCAGGACACGGATGGGCACACCTTGAGCTGGTGGTCCTTGACACCTGTTTTAGCTGCCCTCTCACTGCCTGCAAGATCCACGAGGCTCAGCTTCCCCGTGCTCACGCTCCCATTGGTCAAATTCTTGCTTTCCACCATGATGCCGACGATGAGATGCGAACGGGAGCTCTCTACGTTCATCTCTGGAGAAAATATTCAGGAACGACAGCAACAACAGGAGACTGTGACACGGTGAAACATATTTCTAGTCATTTCTATCACTGAATTCTCAGATTCCTCCCTCAGCAAGGTCTGCCACTTACTGATGATGTGCATGACTGCTTCACACTGGCTGCATCTAACAGGATTACCATATTTATTCATGTATACGAACTCATGTGTAATATGACCCGCCCCCTTTTTGAGTTTAAAAAGCACAAAAAATTTAATCCTCAAACTACCTACAATTTCATACAATCTTCAAGATTTTTTCAGCCTTTGCAGTACATACAGTATCAGTAAAATGATCATTGGACTGTTCATTTTATTTTAACAACAAGTACTAAAAGGTATTTTGAAAACAAATATATATCAGCTGTAGCAGCATCATAAGAATTTTGGCATTTTTACACATAGTCCACCAGGATGCGCCAACACAAAGGTCAGAGACTTCACATGTATGGAGGTAAATTT